AGATTACTAAATAACCTATTTTATGTGTTAATGTTTTTAAAGGAACAAAAATCAAAGAAAATTGCTATTAAACAATTGCTGACTTAAAAAAAAAACTTGAAAATCGTTATTTCAATCTCTCAAAATCTTATACTAAAACTCCACTAAGGGCGCCCTTACGCACTCTTTTCCATTCACTAGATATTTGGGTTGGAAAGTTAACTTAGTTGGTTGTTTATTAAATTTAATAAACTAATAAACTTTATTAGACCCTTTTATTTTATTAATACCTCTTTCAAGAGCTATATGAAATTGTCCATAAAAGTTAAGAGCCTAAGACCTTGAGTGGAGTCTATAAGTCAACGTTGATTAAAATTGCCTTAGGTAAATTCAATAGACCTATTACTAAAGTGAGCGTCGATGGCTCAGTGGTTTAAGTACTTGACTTGTAATCTACAGGTCTTGTGTTCGAATCCTGCCATGTACCAATGTGATTTTCGATTCGAATTTTTATATGTATTTAATTTACCCGACGTTCTTACGGTGAAGGAAAACATCGTGATGCCTGCACATATCGGCGAAGAAATTCAAAGATACGTGTGAAGTCAACCAACCCGCACTAGGCCAGCGCGGTTGACTAAGGTCTAGTCACCCTAATATAGGGTAGGCTCCGAGCCCCTCGGTGGGGACGTATAGTGAGCTGGTGATGATGATTACTAAAGTAAAACGTTTTACAGTAGCTACGTCATCGTAATACATCAAATTGCTTATTACCTATAATAATCTAAATGCTAGAGACATGCTGGGTTGCTAAAGTGTTTTATTTTATCACTTGATTTCGCTCGCTGCGTCCGCATAGAATTTAAAAAAAAACATAATTAAATAGCCTATGTGTTCTTCCAGACTATCCTCTAAAACTATGCCAAATTTCATCGAGATCCGTTCAGCTGGTTAGGCTACAAACTCTAACAAACATCTATCTAAACTTTTGCATTTATAATATTAGTATGATTTCCTAGTGATTCATAATTATTGGTTGATATGAGTTTCAAAGTAATAAATCTAAAATTACGTAGTTCGGAAACGCATTTCATTAATTTATCGAACCAAAAACACTAACGAATAGTTAAATGTACCTGGGAAACCAGTCATTAGTAGGATCTTAGCTATATCTTAAAAAATCTATAGAATTTAGTAAAGTTGAACAAGACAGATCTGTCTCTAGTTCAAGACAATTGGCCGGCATTTTTCTAACAGTTTTACGATCGTGTTTTGTTAAAAATAAGTGACAAAATTTAACTAATCTTTGGATTTATGATTGAATATTCTTTACAATTGTTCCCGTTACCGTTGGGCCGATTTATTCTATGGTTTCGATCTGCCCAACGGGAAATACTAGTGCTGGAATTTACTAAACAAGTAAGACCCTAATGTAACCACTGTAAAGATGACGTAAAAATGACATAAAAGTTGATGATATCTTCTTTTATGTGATGTGAGCGACGTGTTTCTTAGAATCTCAAAATTTTATGACCAACAAAAGTTTTACTTACAATGATTACAAGAACCGCGTGTGGATTTTCTTAGAAGGTTTGAAACCTTAGGAATCCGACATATGATACTTTAAACTTGGTTAGTGTTAAATAATGCATTCATACTGAGTTGCTGAAGTTTCTAATTATATCACTAGCTGTTGCTCTCGTCTTTGCCCGCGTAAAGTTAAAAAAAAATAAGCCTCACTGATAACGTAGTTTTTTAATGGTGAAAGAATTTTTGAAATCGGACCAGTAGTTTTGGATTATTTCAATACAAACAAAAATTCAAAAATACAAATCTTTCCTCTTTATAATATGAGTATAGATTACGTAGTGATTAATTACGGTTAAGTTAAAATAAATTTTAAAGGAATAAAACTCAAGTTATATAGTTCGGAAACGGATTTTAAGAATTTATTGAACCAATAACACTAACGAATAGTTAAACGTATCGGGGAAACCATTAGTCATCCTGCAACTAATGGATGGATTTAATTAGTATGAAAAATTCTATTTACACATTTAACTGGCTGACAATGTCATTTATTATTTACTAGCTTTCGCCCGCGACTCCGTTAGCGTGGGAATAGAACAACAAAAGTCAGTAGCCTATGTGTTCTTCCAGACTATCCTGTACATCTACGCCAAATTTCATCGAGATCCGTTCAGCCATTTAGGATACAAACTCTAACAAACATCCATCTAAACTTTCATATTTATAATATTACTTAGATGGGTTTATTTTAGAATGTTTCAGTGTTTAAAGTGATGATAAAATCTTTTTTCAAATAATTAATAAAGGTAAAATTATTTAAATAAGATTGTTATAATTTCTGATTGCAATAAAAAGTTACTTCTATATAATTCATATTACACGAAAAAGAATAAAACAAATGAAAGTGCGGATGTTTATTTGCGATTATTTTCCATATCATTAAAACTAATAAAATTAGTTTAATAAACTGTAAGTAATGTAGAAAACGGGAAGGCAAGTTAGCTGTTAAGGCAATTAAAATATATCTACCTTCTAACTAGATGTTGCATAAAAAGTCGTCTAGTTTCTACGCCCTAAGGAAAACCTGACAACTGTTTATCTATTCGGTTGTGGTTCAGTAGAAAGTTTGTTTTTTATCAATAGGTTAAGACGCTAAGAAATAATAATAGAAGAGGAAGACCGAAGGAAGTATGGATGCACTGTGTAAAAGACATGCTTAAGAAAGGAGTGGATTCAGATATGACGGCTGATAGAGATGTATGAAAGAGCAGCACATACTGTGCCGACTCCATAAGGGATAAGGGCAAGTTGATGATGATGATGACGCTAAGAAATAATAATATAACGAAATTTAGACTAAAAAAGCTCAACACATTAATAGGGGGCTCTTTGAAGGACTCGGACTCGGACTTTGAGGAACGTGAGTGTACCCGTTTTTACTTTGTTTAGTATTCCGATAATTTCAATAAGAAAACTAACGCACAATTTTAAGAAAAAACATACTTTACATGTCAACTAAAATGTCAGATCGAGTCCTTAGTTATTGGAACGTTTTTCAAGTATAAAATGCAAGAAATAAAATTTCCGGCTTCCGCTTTAGAGCACCTAGTACCTATAACATTTTTTCAACCCCTTAACCTTTGAGAATTATTGAATAATCCGATATCAACATAAAACGGTGGAATTTAAAAGGCCCCTGAGACGTGCGTACTTCGACCTGATCTTTATGTATTTGATGCGGGTTAGAAAGCGATTTAAATAGTTTACTTTGGATATCGGAATAGGAACTTTATACATTTATGTAACGATTTTTTCTCGGTTACAAAATAAACTGCTTAGAAAAAAGAAATTTTCTTTTAGGTAAGACGAGTAGCCATTCTTGTTTTAACTATGGAAATTCTTATTATTTATTTTTATTTATTTATTAAAATAAACCAACAGGACAAAATTACAACACATACATTTTCTATACTGTTATAATAAAGCCTAAACACACACTTCTTTGTTGCCTAAGATGTCAGCAATTACAGCATATTGTTAAATAATTCTTTTTTTAATAAAAAGCCCTACACTTACGTCACGCTTTAGGCTATATATTTTCACGACATTAAACCCAGGGGGAAATATTTTGGATAAAAATCCTAATGTGGGAAAGAGACCATAAGTTGCTGCCAACATCAAGGAAGCAAGATTGCCATGTCATGTCATTTTGACATTTGCAATGAAAATTTTAAATTTTATGCGAATGAAGTCGCATGGGAACAGCTAGTTACACAATACAATAAGTAACATGTAGATAATTTTTCCTAATTATATGTTTGCACGGCATACATAGAAAAATAACAACAACAACAACAGTAACAACAGTAGACAGAGTTTATCTATTTTTTTATTGAACCCAAAACGTAAAATTTAAAATAAATTAAAGTGATCGCCTCTCGGAAATATTTTTTAAATGTTGGCCATTTGTTGGTGACGTCGATTAAAGGTCTTTTATCTCTGGCTCCTTTGACGCACACACAAGAGTTATGTATATCATATCAGAAAAAACAAAGACGATAATATTGATAATACAAATCTTATAGCAGTAGAAACGGTTAATAACTGTATGCAACTGTTTTGAAGTAAAAATGGCATTCGTCGAACTTAAACTAGAAACAAATGTACAGTCAGGACCGTTCGCGATATCCCACTTTGTTCCAATATTTACAAAACGTTCAAATGACGTAGCCTTTAAGTTGTAACACCGACAAATTCCCCGATAGTACGTACAACAAATAGTGTAGATATTGTATGCATGAACAATCGACACGGACGAATGGTTTAATTCAAAAGGTATTCATTCAATAAATTTGGATTGTGTTCAGCACTCCCTTGACATGTTTGTCTATTTGATGATGCTTTGTTACATGTTTTGTTTCGATACTGTATAGAGCAGTTACTGGACAGAGTAGTCTCTGTTGCAAATAAACGTAAAATAGGTAAGAGGTGTTGTCATCTATTATTAGTAATATATTTAATATATATTACTAATAATAGTTATATAGTTAATATATCTGTACTATTATAATAAAGCGTAAACACACACTTCTTTGTTGCCGAAGATGTCAGCGATTACAGCATATTTTTGAGTAATACTTTTTTTAATAAAAAGCCCTACAATTGCGTCACGCTTTAGGTTATATATTTTATCGCCATTAAACTTAGGGGGTAAATGTTTTAGATAAAAACCCAAATGTGGGAAAGAGATCACAAGTTGCTGCCAACCATGTCATGTCATTTGTAATTGATAATTTTACAAATGTAAACTAAAATTTTCATAATTTCATGCGGATGAAGGCGCATGAGAACAGCTCATAGCATATATCCGTCAGGATATTTTAAACCACGATAAGAAATTAATTTAAATTTGTAAATATATGTAATTACTATACAAATAACAATCAATTTGAACAAAACAAATACAATAAATTACAAGAGCTTTGCGGTACCTTTCATGGTAAGTTTCACACTAGGGTAGAATAGTGTGATAGAGCAGTGCGACTATTATTAGAACAGTATTGTTTTGGTTCTAACAAAAGCAGTACTGAATGATCTACTGGTCTGTCTCACAGCGCTGTCTTCGTGCTAGTTGCATTACGATAGCTCGTCTATCGCTACCCACCTGTAACAAATGATTGAAATTAATCACTCCTCATAAAGTCGGCGTGAAATCGATAATCGGATGGGTGGGCGGCCACCGAGCTGTATACAGGATGTAATGATTGTTTGACAAATGAAAACCATCTCGAGTGAGGCATGATTTATTGGATATTCTCGTAACATTACGAGATGATCTCGACATAGAGCCCAACCCTAGTTTTAGTCTTGATTGTTGAATCAACCAGTAGTTAAAACTAATCACTGTAAAAGTGGTTTTCCATTGCGAGATTGTAAATGTTTTCATACAAATATTTGGACAATGCAAATTCAAAGTAGTCTATACTAATATTATAAAGAGGAAAGATTTGTATTTTTGTATGTATTGAAATAACTCAAAAACTTCTGGGTCGATTTCAAAAATTCTTTCACCATTAAAAAGCTACGTTATCACTGAGTAATATGGGCTATTTTTACATTTTACGTGGACGAAATCGCGAGCAACAGCTAGTGTAGAAAAAAAATTGTAATTCACAGTGATTAAATTATGTAAGGAAGCATCTCCATAGCTAGAGATAACTGTAGTACATTTTCACTTTGTTGCGTTTACCGTACTTTACGACGCCCGAGGGACAAAATCTCTCGATCGATACATATCTAATTAGGATCTTGTGCATAATAAAATCGCTTGAACCTTTACTAAATGAATATAAATGCCGAATAGACACCATTTGGATTATAATAAACCTTTTTAGAAACTAAAACCCTTTAAAAATTCAAAAAAATAAAATCTAATATTGTTTATGACTTCATTCCACAAAAGTCAAAAACAAAAAAGTTACGACATTTTAAAAATGGAATTTCAAATTTCGAAAATCGTAAACGAACATTTGATGTTCAAAACCCACTAACATTCGAAAAGAGAGAGAATATGGCACAAAAACCGGAATTCTTTAACCGCCGTCACGGTCTATCCTATTAGCAGATACGACCATATTAGAAACAATTAGAAGCGCTCGAATCTTTTTATATCGAACGTGAACTACATACATTCCGTACAAAATGGACACAAGTGCACATAACCTCAAAACCCATTCATCTGAACAAAAAAAACAAATGACGAATACGATTACGGCTAGATATTGCATAAGAGACATTGAAATTATTAAAAAAAACTTACAAAGATCAAAGGTCATTTGTAATGAGCATATAAACTGCAAATTACATAACATAATGCAAATTTGAATAAATTTGAAACTAAACATGTCAACGACTCTTACATTGTGATAGGACATAAAAAATGTTGCAGAATCTTTTACGTAAGCAATCATTTGTAAAAAAAGACGACCCTATCATTCACAACTAGCCTACAAACTAACACCTAACTTAGCTTAACTTAAGCATTCCTTAATTTTATTTCCATTTATTTTATCATTAGTTAATGATTCCTTAGTGTTAGCTTGACCTAAGTTTCAACGGTGTAAAACTCACTGTAATTTGGAAACTCATTTTATCTAGTTATCGAACCGCACTAACGAATTAAACGTAGCTGGGAAACCGGATAGAAGTCACCACAAGATAACAATAACAACCGGCGAAACGTTACCCTTCGGTCGGAAACACTATTTAAATCTCCCTTAATAAAGTCGCATTACGATGGCTCCAACGTAAAACGCATATTTGAAACGCAAATACATGACCCTTAATATTAATAAAATCACGTAATACTTGAAATTTCTTAATAATATAATAACGGTTAAATGCAAAGCAAGTATTATACAAATGTAGTGATAATCACAATTATATACAAGAAGCTAAATGGACCACTGCAATGTGGCTCATACTAACGGGACATCTTACACTCGAACGTAGAATAATTTTAATCGCAACACAAGAAATTATCTCGTATGTCGTTCAATGTACAGTTTTAATTGAATTTTAATATATTACAAAAAAAAAACGTGCCATTATAGCGTGCCCACTTGAAACTAAACTATCGCACAACTGTTCAGTCTCGCCTTGATTCCTATGAGCTAATACCGTCCGAATAATATACGCTTTTTAGTTATGCAATTAACAGTTGAATTTGCTGCAAAACAATCGACAATCGCACAACCGTGTGCGATTGTTTAGTGAAAGGTGTGCGCCCGCTCTTAATATATCAAAATTATATTATTACAACCTAGCTTTCGTTCGCGACTTCATCCGCATGGAATTAAAAAAAAAACAAAAGTGATTAGCGTAGTCTTTCAGACTATCCTCTACCTGTACCAAATTTCACCGGAATCCGTTGAGCCGTTTAGGCCACAAACTCCATACAACATCCATCCATCGATCTAAACTTTCGCATTTATAATATTAATTACATTAGATATAAGAATACATACAAATGCACAAAATAAGAAAAGTAATTCTATTAGTCAGGATTTAAGATACCTTGTATAATTATATTACTTCTAGAAATACACTATTGCCATGTCTAATAAAAGCATTTATAGGACTTCTAATAACTATCATTATAAAAAAAGAAAATTATGTTGTATTTTTCTCGAAAATCACTGCTTACAAATTATTAGCATCATAAGCATTTAGAATATTGTGATAATATTAAGATTTAGAAATAGCAACCATCATGGGTTTCCCAGCTACATTTAACCATTCGTTAGAGTTGGTTCGATAAAATGCGTTTCCGAGCTACATAACTTGAGTTTACTTTATTGAATCTTAGTCAAAAGAGTCGAGAAGAAACATAAGTAAACATTAATAGCTAGGTAATGAGAAAATAAATGAAGACGTCGGAAACCCAGCATTAATGGAAAAAATTAATTGTTGCTGGTAAGCGTTTAACAAAGATTTATTGTTAAACGCTCTTAAAACGTCTTCAGATTTGCGATGATTTGATTTAGCGATATTCAATCTAATCGGATTTTATTGTATTTTAATAAATAGACACCATAAATTATACGTTTTTCCCTCAAATTTAACTGCGATGGTATTTAAAAATCAAACATTATTAATTTGTTTAGCAAAGAAAAATGAATTACACTTGTTAATTTTCTTTGTAAAACTAACAAGTGCTCGACAAATAAAGGTTTTAACCCACAATTTGTGCTATGTTTAACGGGAGTTCTAAATTAACGTTCAAAGTGATAATTTTGAACTGCTTTTGTTTACTTTGTAATAGTTACAAAGTTTTTCTCACGCTTGGTTTTAATTTAATGGCAAACGTGATAAAAAACAAGCCGGAGTAATTTACTTATATGTTAGTGAAAACCGTTTTTAAATTTTCAAAGACTTAAGCGAACAAAGGTCACGAAGTAACTTTGTATTGGTATGTTACTTCTTGCTAATATTATAAATGCGAATATTTAGATGGATGGATGTCTGTTAGAGTTTGTAGCTTGAACTCCAGAACGAATCTCGATGTTTGGCATAGATGTAGAGGATAGTCAGGAAGAACACACAGACTGCTTGCTTTTGGTTTTTTTTTCATTTCTCGCGGTTGGAGTCGCGGGCGTAAGCTAGTATTATAAATGCAAAATTTTAGATGGATGGATGTTTGTTATAGTTTGTAGCCTAAACGGCTGTGTTTTTTTATTCACCGCGGACGTTGCGGTTGAAAGCTATACTAGTATTGTAAGGAGGAAAGATTTGTATTTGTGGATTTTTGTATTTATTGAAATTACTCAAAAACTACTGGGCCAATTTCAAAAGTTCTTACACCATTAAAAGGCTATGTTATCGCTGAGTAACATAGGTTAAATTTAAATTTTTTCAATTTCACGCCGGCGTAGTCGCGAGCTTGTAGATAATATAATAACAATTATTGGTACAATTAAAGTAAATGTCTGGCGGTTTTATAAGTTTTTTTTTTTCATAGTTAATTGGAGAGGCTCCAGAGCGACATTACGCTTCGCATCACGTAATCGAATCGAATTAAAACAATTACAGTAATGAAAAAAACAAAGAGGCTTGCACGAGCAAACGTCATAAAGGTAAAGAGACAGGATGAAGGGTTTTTTTTTATTTAAACACAGTTGTAGCTCGCGACTTCGTCCGCGTGTAATTAAAAAAAATATAGTCTATGTTAAGGTAATTTATCTGTGATAAGTTACCTTTTTAATGGTGAAAGAATTTTTGAAATCGGTCCAGTAGTTTTTGAGTTATTACAAATCTTTCCTCTTTATAATTTTGCTATAGATTTGCAAACAAAAAAAAATCATTAGTTTGTAAATTCAGCAAAATTAAGGACCATTATAAAATAAAATTTATTTATTTATTAGGACGCCAACAGCATAATGTTAAATTACAATTTAAAAATTCATTAACAAATAATAACGTTTCTTTCAAATTGACAAAGTTTATTTTGCAATCTAAAAACAATGAACTATTCAATAGACTATAAAAAATAAATAAAAAAAACAAACGGATCCGGTTACCCAATCGTATCGGTTACAGATAATTTTTAAATCGACATAAAACATAGAGTAGCCGGAAAGGTCAATTGCATTATAAAAGCTTTCGATCATTCGTAAAAAACACATCAAATTTTATTCAAAACTAGCTGTTCCCGTGCGGCTTCATCCGCATGAAATTATGAAAATTTTATTTTATTGTTTACATTTGTCAAATTATCAATAGTAAATGTCAAAATGACATGACATAATAAACCTTAGCAATCTTGCTTTCTTGATGTTGGCAGCAACTTATGGTCCCTTCCCACATTAGGGTTTTTATCCAAAATATTTACCCTCTAAGTTTAATGGCGTGAAAATATATAGCCTAAAGCGTGACTTAAGTGGAGTTTTTATTAAAGAAAGAATTATTCAAAAATATGGTGTAATTGCTGACATCTTAGGCAACAAAGAAGTGTGTGTTAACGCTTTATTATAATATTATAGATGTTTTTGGGGAAAAAATCTACTGGATCTTTTGTTGCTATGACAACGTATAAATGATATTTAGC